GCTTGTAACTGTCAATCTTGCAATGCCTCATGGGACTTGTAGTTTGGCAACCGCTGGAGGGCCGCCAGTTTGACACCCGTGCTTTAAAACATCCTTCAGCTCCAGTTTGGGGAGTGAAAGCACATATTCTAATGGTAGTGCCAACTGTCACTTTAAACAAGTTGTTGCAGACTATAGTAGACATGAGCACTACCTGAAGCTTGATGGAAGCTTGGTAGCTGCTTAAAGTGACAGCCAGCACTCCCATTTAGATCTACATTTATCATTCCCTCCTTGTTGCAAAAGGCTTCAACAAAGGTGCTCCAAGTTCATTGATGTACTTTCTGTACAAAATGCTCTTATACAGGCTGAAGTCTGTGTGAACAAGACCTTGATGCCTTATTCAGTAAAGAATGAATTACGCAGACTGCTAATCCTAAAGATAGGTAACTGTTAGCAACTAGTTACCATCATGCGAATTATAGTTGGTGCTCTTAGTTACTGCACTTAAAGCAGAACTCCAATCTTTTACAGCCAAGGAAGGTGCCATCTTAGTCTCTGTTTGATCTCCATTTGCCATGGTGTTGCACATGTGATCAGTTACAACACCAGCCCTTTGATGGCTTGACAATTCAGTTGAGAGCACAATCAACGTTGACAGTTCTCATTCATGGCATGCATTGAATGTAACTGTTTTGGAAAACCATGAAATCGATGGGTTTAGGTTTGCCCTAAGAATTAGCACTCTGCTCCTTCAACTCTTTATTGAATAAGAATATAATTATGCATTGCTATACATTTTGCCCAGTTTCTAAATTATTTATCAAAAATTCTCTTCTTCTCATATAAGAAATGAAATGGACCTCTAGTGTTTCTTTACTAGATTCATAAGTTTTTAGAAACTGTCAAACCTTATGGCTTTCAGCAGGCATTGCTTCTTATCAAGCAAAATTGGGTAACAAATCACATTTCAGATCCACTTTTTTCACTTATGGACAAAGAGTCACTGAAAAAGAAATTAGTAAAAATGTAATTATACTATGAAGAGGTCCATTAACTTTAAATTATACATGATATTACCCAGTGCAGTTATTTAAGGAGTCTGGTATGTTTCTTTTGAAATATTCCAATGCCTAGAAATTGACATGGTTTGCTCCGTGCTGCATATGAGTGCAATATTGCTATACTGCATGTAAACGGGAAGGTTGCTCCTGTAGACAGGAGGTGTACATGTAAACTGGAAGTATGGTCATGTAAACTGGAAGATAGTTCCTACAATCAGGAAGTAGACATGTAAACAGGACGTTTGGTCATAGAAACAGGAAGTGTGTTTCTGTAAACAGGAAGTGGCCTTTTCAAGTTGAAGGATATTCCTGCAAACAGGAAGTGTACTCCTGTGAAAATGGAAGTCTGCTCTTGTATCATACTTTTTTCTACCTAAAAAAGGAAATCTTATGTTCCACATGTAAATTAATGGATTCTAGTCAAAACAATTTTAAAAAGACATCTTAATGAAAATGCAGCAAATGTTAATACCATTCCTAAAGAGAAAATAAAAGATAACTGTTTATACTGTCCTCCTGGCACTGACTCAGATCATCACTTTGCTGAAGAGCTATGGCTCTTCCCAGCCAACAGTTTTAGGAGTGTTGGATGACTCCACTCTTGTGCAGGGGTGTATTTACCACAAGGCAAACAAGGCACTTGCCTAGGACAGCATTTTTCAAGGGGGCAGCATCTCCCTCCAGACGAAGGGATGAAAAAAGTGACACTCGCACCATGGGAACCAGGTGGGATCCAAGAGAGTCTGGAGGCTGCTTGATGGTATAGATAGAGCCTGACTCTTGTTCCCAGAGTTGTGAAGATGAGTGTCTCTCTATCACTGGGTGAGGGGGGAAGGGGGGTAGTGGAAGGCTCTCCGGGGTGTGGGGCAGGGGTGTTGTTGGTCAGTGTCAGGCTTTCTCCACAGGAGGGGGAAGAGGGGTGGTGTTGGTTGGTGTCTGTGGGGGAAGACGATTTTTTTGTTGCCTAGGGCAGCACAAAACCTAAATACACCACTGCTCTTGTGTATGCTGTGGTTTCATCTTCTGGCCTGTTTCACTACAGGATATAGTAGTGACCTAGATGCCAGAAGGAGAAGGAGAAACTGCAGCCCACAGTAGGGGATGAGTTCTGAGTCTTTGGTGACCATAGATGCTTAGAAAAATGAGAATCCAAGTCAAGCCCTGCTAAGGAGGTAATCATGAACAATCTACCATCAAAGGGAGCTTTTCTAGGAAAAAAATCCCTGTGACCGAGTCTCTTTAAAGTTTCTCTCGGAAGGCTGATGCAGCTGAAAATTAAAATGTACTTTTGCTGGTGCATGGTTGGGAAACAGGCAAATGCTATCTTTCAGAGTTGTAACATTCTACTTTGGATCCAAGTTGATTCCTACACTATGGCACACACATTGAAATTGAATTTTGTTACATAAACATGAAAAACTGTGATTTGCCTATAATCTTGTTTAGAGCTGGGGGAATATGGTAAAATATGTAAATATTGTAATTAAGAAAAACTTGGATTATTCTTAATGGCAAAGAATACTAGGTATTTATGTAGGCACAGCTAAAATCTCTGTCTTCTGAGATTTTATTGAGCAGATGCTGAGTAGTTAGCTATGTCTGATAATATTTTGGATATTGTTGATAATATCTGGCCAATCGCCAAGGTAAAAGGGCAGTAGACTGAATATAGTAAATTAAGGCCTAATTTGTTTTAACAACAGCATTGAATTAAGGTGTTTTTTCTCTACACAAACCTCTTCCCCCAGCTCTGTTGTGACCAGGGGCGGACTGACCATTTGGAAACTCGGGCACTGCCCGAGGGCCCGGGGTCAGTAGGGAGCCCCATGAGATGCCCCTGGTACCTTTTTCATAGGCTTTTTTGAGTTTGGGCAAGGACACAGATGCCCCATGATACCCTATTGCCCGGGGGCCCCATGAGTTGTCAGTCCGCCCCTGGTTGTGACTTTTACCAGCTGCATCATAGTTTAACCGCAGTGCCATTGCAGATTAAAATTGGTCTTGCAGCTTGTTTGTACTAGTTGCGGTTATTTGTAAATGGATTCACTTTGTTCCCTGAGACAACCTAAGCAGGAACAAAATGAAGGTCCTGCTATCTCTTGCTAGGGCACTATGGGAGGGACAACCCTTTCATCTTACTCAGTAGTGTGATCTGAAGCAGGGTTTTCACTTTTCACTAGAAGTGGAAGACCCATTTAATTCTTGTTCTTTGGGGGACATATCGTGCAATTTTTTTTTTTATGGTTATCTAAGATTTCTTTGTGCTGTACGATGAATAGCTTTCATTTAAGTAAGCTGTGCTTTTGGACCATTATTTTTATAGACTATAACGATAACGAGCGTGTTTGCACCAGTAAAGGGAGGCATAGTGCAAAAATTTGTCATAATAATTTGAAGACCCATTTTAGCTTAATGTAAAATCTTCTCAAACTTGTGCATCAGTGTTAGTTATCCTAAATTAATATCAGCCTTTGTGTATGTATTTTTTTTGCACCAGATCCTTTCATTTTGTCAAACAGGAAAACAAGAGGGAGCCATCTTCTGCGATGACAATATCCAGCCAATTTATTCTCTCATTAATGGCATAAAATCAAAATGGCTGGCCCCTGAGAGATGAGGGGTCATGTAATATTTTAAATAATGATCTTAAAATTTGAAAGGCCATCTGCCATCTAAAGTTTTCTAAGTTTCTGTGTTTTAATGCTTCTTGCTTACATCTTCTATCTCTATGATGTGCGCATATCATCATATTCATATTTATTGCCACTTTCCCTAGTAACCTGGTAACTACTATATGTCTGATTTGTTTGCTGATTAGCATTAAGAGGACAATGTTACGGGCCAAGGATGCCTAGATCAACAATTCCTAGGCAGCATTTGTATTGCAAATGTCAACAGAATCCAGCAGTAGTCTAGAAATCCTCGTAGATATTCAAGTTCCCAGATCATACAATCTGCAACTTCCTTTGCTATAAGTCTTCTGAAATGTACCGATCTTGCATGAAATACAGAATAGCATACACCGCTGTCATATAGCACACAAAAGCCTGCAAGAAAGAGAAAGCACCATGCCCTCATTCATATCTGAAAAATACAACTCCGTGTCCAATACAGGTCGAAAACGTTCAACATGAACATTGATTTTTTTTTTGTTTTTTTTTTTTTAATTGCCTTGACTTTTTTTTTTTATTATTTTTTTTGATCAGTAGTCTGATTCGAGTTTGCAAACACCTTCACAACATACAAAAAATTAAATATTTGTCTGGTTTTTTTTTCTTAGCTAGAACACGTATTCATGACAAGCTCTGCGACTTTTTCAGGAATTAAAAAATAAAAAAAAAAAAACACAAAAAAAAAAAAATTAAACAGTAGAGCTATAGCAACAGCACCTTGACATTGTTTAATTTAACGCTATCAGAGAAGTTAAAAGCAGTAAACAGATATAATACCGACATGAATAAAGATACTGTCTAAAGTGTGAACGGAATGTTTTGGTTCTTTTTTTTTTATATCTCTTTTGCCTGGATGAAGACAGAGTGTTATCAATTCACAACTGAAGCAGCATGCATGCTTGTCTATAACTTTTTTTTTTTTTTTAATTTTCAACTCTTGGCAACACCAACAAACCACAATGTTATTGAGGAAGGTAATGCAGGCTTATCTCTTAACCTATGTACTGCTGGAGGGGGCTCAGGAAGCATTGCACAGCAATGGAACCCGGGACCCTGCCAGCAGAAAACAGGCAACTTTGTGCGCAGAGGTCATTATTTTCCTTTAGGTTATGGATATGTTCAATAAATAGATTTGTAGAACCACGGTACTGTATAAACTTCATTTATACATGCAGTCCATAAAATTATTTTTGTTTTTTTTTTTTTACTGAATAATTTACCCTGTTATGTATATATACAAATAGATAATTTTTCTTCTCAATATAATCTATACAACATAAATTCACTATCTTCCTCTTTTAATGGTCAGTGTACATACACAAGAAGTGTCTATCCTTATAAAGCGCCAGCCGACTTTTTTTTTGCTATCCATGGTTAGCGCACGCACGTAAGACTGGGTAGTTCGGCATTGCGAGTTCCAGTACCTCTTGTCGATGCCCCTGCAACCATCCTTCATGTAGCCCATTGGATTGCATTTGGTCTCATAGAAATATTGTTTCAGTTGACCCTTGGGTACTGGGACTTTTTCAAGAACAGTAACTGTTTGTCCTGTCATGTCCACTGCAGTTTTTTTGTCGGCTGCAGTCACCCATTCACTAATACTGTCACACACGCTCAGCTCCCCACGTCGGGCTGGATCTGAGTGGCGGCGCACTCTCATGGACACATGTTTGCAGCATCCAGGTAGTTTTTGTACTCCTCAAGGAGAAAAAGCAAAGGGGGCTCCAAAGGCACTTGAGTGCTCAGCATAACTCGGGATGAATACATATCTGAGTCCTTGTTCTCTTCGCTCTGCCTTGTGATCTGTTCCTCCTCTAGGAGTTCCTCAATAACTTGCTCAAAGGTATCCGTCAAGGATGGAAGTCCTCCTCCTCTTGACCCACTCATTGGCCCACCTATGTTTTCCAGAGTACCGTGGGTCCGAAGACCCGGATAGGCCAGGCCACTTTGTCCTCTGACACTGGCTTCTTTCATGGGGGCAGCTTTCATGCAACTGAAGTATGAAATAACCATAGTAAGGAAAAGGATGGTCATTACTCTTCTCACCTGATGGAACTGTAGAAAAAAAAGACAGAAACATGAAAATATTAGAAGACCCATGGATGACTTGTTACTCAAAAAGCAAACAAAAATTGTTTTGTTGGATGCAGTATTGTTAGGGTTGTTGCGAAACATTGGAGTTATCTACCCAGAAGACATCATATGCTGAAAATGAACCTCTCAGGCAACATTAAAAAAAAAAAAAAAATCTATCACTGATACAAAAAAAAAAAAAACAAAAAAACAAACACACACACACACACACACACACAAAATTGTACTTACTTATACAGCTTTCATAAGCTGTAAAATTTGATCATTCCCAGGGGCGGACTGACCATTTGGAAACTCGGGCACTGCCCGAGGGCCCAGGGTCAGTAGGGGGCCCCATGAGATGCCCCTGGTACCTTTTTCATAGGCTTTTTTGAGTTTGGGCAAGGACACAGGGGCCCCATGATCCCCTATTGCCCGGGGGCCCCATGAGTTGTCAGTCCGCCCCTGGTTATTCCCCAAAACATAACTAAAGCTATTACAATGAACTGCATCTTAGTCAATCAGGAGGTAGCTTTTTAACAGGATTACGAACAAAATATCAAATGTGCTCAAAGCATAATCAATGTCCATAAAATGACTATTAAAGAGAACCTGTCATAGAAGAAATGCCTGATTATTATTGCAACCTTTCTTCTTGTGTTTTATTTTCACCTTTGCTTTACTATTTTGGAAGACATTAAGCTGCAATAGGTAGACAGCCTTTAAAGTTGGTACTCCTGATCTGCATTTTTGTTATTCACCGTTGCACATCAATATAATGCACACAGAATTTCCTATGGTTCTGTAACTCATCAGAAAACTAGGCACTAAGCCTGGCGAATGGGCTCCAGGAGAGTAAAGGTGGGATTTTAAAGTGTGTTCATGGCTCTTTAATTTAAAGCGGCCTTTTAGTATGGTGCCAACCATCTTGAGAAACAATCAGATGAAGACATTTTAGAGAGGAATACTGTGATCTCTGCATAAGAGAAAAATTACCTGAAAGTATTATCCAGTGCTGCCCTGGAAACAAAAAAATCAGACGCCCCCCGCGGAGAGAGCCTGACAGTGACCAACAGCACCCCTCCCCATCCCCCCCACCCGAGAGAGCCTTCCCCTAACATTCATCCCCCCACAGAGACAGAGAGAAGGACACTCTCCTTCACAGCTCTGAACATCCCTGGAAATGACAGTTGGGCTCTGCATACATCGTCAAGCAGCCCGCAGCCTCTCTTGGATCCCTCCTGGTCCCCATGCCACATATGTCTATTCTTCCAAGAAGCAGTGCTGCCCCCCTAAAAAAATGCCTAGGCAAATGCCTTGTTTGCCTTGTGGTAAATACACCCCTGGTATTACCCTTACACATTACTTGTTTTGCCAATATATGATTAAAGGTGTTTAAAGTGGTTGTAAAGGCTGAAGGCTTTTTATATATTTATGTATTCTATGCATGAAGGTAAAAAAACTTCTGTTTGCAACAGTAATACTTACCTGAGGCTCATCGCGATCCAATGATGTGAATGACAGCCTTGGCTGTTCTGGGTCTCTGCCTCCTCATTGGCTGAGACAGGAAGCGGCAGCCATCAGCTCCCACTGCTGTCAATCACAGCCATTCAGCCAATGAGGAGAGAGAGGGGATGGGATCAAGCCGTGGCTCCATGAATGAATGGATACACGGAGCAGCGGGTGCCCCCATAGCTAGCTGCTTGCTGTGGAGGCACCCGACAGACAGGAGGAGCCAGGAGAACCTGTGGGGGACCCGAGAAGAGGAGGATCCAGGCTGCTCTGTGCAAAACCACTGCACACAGCAGGTAAGTATAGACATGTTTGTTATTAATATAACATTTAACATTTTAAAAAAAAAAAATGAACCATTAGATTCACTTTAATTTATAGCTAAACTGAACGTTAGTTTTGGATGGAGAAGGGAATAATTAAAGGATCTTTCTGGCTTTTTAGCCATCTAAGTCCCATTGGGGAGACTTCCCTTCGCGTCCTTGAACAAACACTGTTTTCAGACTTTTCCTCAGGCAGTCTATATCCTTTGTGTGACACCATAGAGGTGTCCCCATTTGAAGATCTTCCAGGGGCGGACTGACCATTCGAGCACTCGGGCACAGCCCGAGGGCCCAGGGTCAGTAGGGGGCCCCATGAAATGCTCCTGGTACCTTTTTTATAGGCTTTATGAGTGTGGGCAAGGACACAGGGGTCCTATGATCCCCTATTGCCCAGGGGCCCCATGAGTTGTCAGTCCGCCCCTGGGATCTTCCCTTTATTATTGCACCAGTAACAACTCAAACTTTGGAAGTTTCTCTACCTTTCAGCAGTAGGGGCCATGCATACTAGGAAAAATAGAGAATATAAGTCTCCATAACGGGTACAGAGACAGCCATAAAAACCTGATGTGAGTTCTATCTCTCCAGCATTCTATACAAGATTGAAAAAACATTTTGTTTTTGCTTTAAAGGCCTAGAAGTGAGCCAATTGAGCTACCCAGTGCTTTATGGATATTCTGGTATATAAAAATCTGGATCGATTTATTTTTCTCTATTGTCCCCACCAACTATTGACATTTCCAATGTATGCTTTTATCCTACAGCTACAGTCCAAATAATGGTATCGTCATGACACATAGATGTAAGATTATGAGAAAAAACTATTATTTTTTTTTCTTACAAATAAAAAAAAAAAGAGAAAAGATTTAGAGGAAAGCGGTAGAGGCAGGCGACACATACATCGGTTTCATGACATTTTCTATCAACTTAGCTGCAGCAAATCCGCGTTCCATTATCTTCTGTTTACTTAGTAACCTTCTACAAGATGAAACATTGCATTTATTGAGAGAAACCTCCTGCCCCTATAATTATTATATCACAAGCTCAGCTCCATTACAGAAGATCTCATTCCCACCATCGGATAGAGAGTGAATCCGGTACAAATATTTACTGTTGGATTTATACCCAGGAAGAGATAACCTAAGAGCTTTCTGGAGCAAATGCTACACGTCAGGAGCAGTATAGAGATTCAATTTTTAATGAGCTCTTGATTCTGTGAAAAGCTTTGTAAGGGCATTATGGGAAATGTTACCAGGCAACTGCAACCAAGCTATAGTAACACATTCCAAAACTGACTTTTATAAACGTCGCTGTAGTGGAATGTGAGAATCCACAACACTTTCTTCTATTGTTGGCAAAAAAAAAAAACTTTTTACAAAACAGCTCCGTGAAAAATTTGTGCTGAAATACATAAGATAGAATATGATCAAATATGGATTGATTATATTAAAGAACTGGTAAGCCTAAAGGGGTTGAAAACCCTTACCTATACCCAGTGAAGTTACCAGCCTCAGGTAATACACAGAGATGAAATACATCCTCCTACATAAAGGTGTTCATGTTTCTCTGCAGCCCTCTCTTCTCTACAGCTATTTAAAGTGCAGAATTTATACAGCTTATCTGAGCTTCGAGAAAGAAGGGGGTGGGGAAATAAATTTACTCTCTGCAGATCTCAGTGAGGAGAGCTCTGGGAACTGATTGAAGGGAAAGGACACCCCCCCTTCACACAGCACTCAAGAACAGAGCTGAGGCTATCAATCAGAGGCTGTGTGTTGAAGCTCCATCCCCTGTCACATTTTTTCTTTTGGTGTCAGAAGTGACTCATGCAGAGGAATGAGGCTTAGTGGTTGATTTTCTAAATCTGGAGAGTGCAAGCTCTGCATATAAACCAAAAGGTTAAAGATATTGGTGCTGGAGAGAGAGGAAAATTTAGAGTCCAATTTATTATGAGGGATTAGTCCGTATATTACAGTATACTCGGCAACATCATGAGGCAGCACCCTAAGAGTAAAGCTGGACTCTGATATGGAAGAGAAAAGAAGAGAGGGGCGCCAGACTGTGCTATTAAAATATCTGTTAATACTGCACTTAAATGATTGGGTAACTCACTAGATGAAAGTGGGTCAAAGGCATGTGTCTCAAGAGTAGACGTCGTCCTGGTGGAAACCCGGAGGCAGAAGGGGAAGGTGCATGGACATCTGGGGGCCAAGGCTGTGGAGGAAGCCAGGTTTCCTGATTCACATCGTATCTCGATCAGATATCTCGATCAGCATCCCACGGCTGTGTTGAAAACCCCCAGAGGTCTGACGAAGAAGTAGTTGCTTTGAAACGCGCTACCACCCTCTCCTTGTGGCATTACGCTTACGTGGTGATGTCATATCCACCCGGCAGCCATCTGCATTCCAGCCTGGTTTTCAACACAGCCACAGGACGCTGGTCGAGATACAATGTGAATCAGGAGACCTGGCTTCCTCCACAGTCTTGGCCCCCAGATGTCCATCCACTATGTTTTATAGTAGAAAGTAAAAAAATTGCTTTTCTTTTTAAAAATGTTTAGTCTTTTTTCGTTTATATCACAACAAAATAAAAAAAAAATGGTGATCAAATACCACCAAAAGAAAGCTCTATTTTTGTGAAGAAATTATATAAATTTTGTTTGGGTACAGCGTTGCATGACCGTGCAGTTACCAGTTAAAGAAACACAGTGCTGTATAGCAAAAAATTGTTTGGTCATGAAAGGGGTAAAATCTTCCACAGCTTAAGTGGTTAAATAGCCTTTTTGGCTTGTGGTGCTCAGATGCAGTGTAGTTCTGCTTTCAAATTGATCTCTTGTGCCAAAATGAGCATACATTTGCTTGTGAAACTTACAATGAACCCGCAAGCAAAAACCCCTAAGATAGAATTCCACCTTTCAAATCACTTTAAATAGTTTGTTTGAGCTAAACTGGCCCAAATTAACTTTTTCCATTACATAATGGTGTGGCTGCTGTGAGTGCTGTAATATATTGTAGCAGCATTAGCTGCATACAGTAAGCAGTGGAAGACTTCCCTTCTGTTTTGGATTTAAAAGGAGTTGGGCTAAGGGCATCACAGCCAATCAGGAGAAGCCTTGTATTTAATTTAATGGAATACAAGCTTCCTTTGATCTAAC